TAAAATAATGTACATAAAATGATACAATTTTTGTAATGTATTAAACTGTACAAATTGACGTTAAATTGACATTGACCAACACTTTTTGATGTTCGAACATTTCAAAAGTTCTTAGTTATAATCAATATATTTACCTTTCTATTTTCATAATGTATATTACACTAAGAATAATTACCTAGATCTTAAAACCTGTTTTAAACACTAAAAAAAAAAAAGTATTATAGTGTATCTCAAATCACAATCCCAGACTCGTTGCGAATACGATTGTCTTGTATTTTCAGACGTGATCGAGGATAATTCCATGGTAACATTAGGAGCTGATTTAGTAAGTAAATAATTATTAGAAATTACAACCAGTTAAAATTGTAGTTAACGGCACATTATTTATTTGACAAAATTGATTGTTTTTATAATATTAATATAAGACTGTAAGGTCATTGAGTATTGGGTAAGACGATACAACAATTACAAATGGACTGTCTAACATGTGAGTTCACAAAATTAAAATAATTACATGATGATAATAACAAAAGTCTAAATAGAAAATGTACACCAAAATTTACGAAGACTGAATGTAACATAATTTAACATTTTAATAATATTAACAGAAATTTAAATTTAACAAAAAAACAATATGCAATTATTTATAGATGTTGGTTTTTAGAATAACGAATAAATGAACCTATTACATCAAAATCAATACCTTTAAATGAATTTTTTAAAAATTTACTGAGTAAGGAAAAACTTAGTTCACTCTCTAATATATAAGTATCATAATCATAATCCTTACCCTTAGCTTCTAACTTAACCTTCCTTTCTATATAATAAATTTCGGTGAACTTGTCTTTAGAAAAGTGTTTATTGCCCAGTTGAATATGAATCGAATTTATTTTGTTTAGTTGTTCCCAGACGGTATTTTCAAGCTCTCCGTTTTCTCCTCGATCGGCTAACTTGGATGCAAATGGCTGACTAAAGAGTGTGGCAACAATTTCTAGTTCATTATGTGTTTCTAAATTCAAAATCTTTTTAATTTCATCAAAATAATTTTCCGTCTGGGCGCTAGACTTCTTTATCCGATCGATAGTCATCGATTTTCCAGATTCTACGCGTGTAGAAATTTCAATTATGTATTTCCACGAATTGTAAAATATAACATATTTCATAACGTTCATGAAAACATGTTGACATTCAACCACGTCATTGGTCAGTGTCCCGAAATTTTCACGATTAAGACTTTTGGAGCATTTATCATTTATTAGATCGAATATACGTCGTCGTTCAAATTCGTCGGGAATGTCGCCAAAAACTCTCAATAATTCATTGAAATCGAATTTATTCATTGCGGATATCAAACGCAAATGTTCAAACGTGAAGTACGATGTACAATTTACGATGGTCATACTTTTAGTTAATTTAGTCTTTCTAGTGTACATTGTGTTTTCGAGTTTGACCACATATTTAAAGATTTCGTTGTGCGATACTGTTGGGGTAGTAGCACGGAGGTCTTTCAGATTGTTAAAATATTGAGAATTAAAAATTTGGTCGTTATACAGGTTATTATCTTCAAACATGCACTGTTGCCCAGTGAAATCTGCAAGTTGGGCGGAAACTGTTTTGTGATCGTCCAACAAACGGATTCGTGTATGTTCGTCGTTGTGTACGCGCATTATGCCTAGTGGTCTCAAGCTACTCAAATACATGTACACGAGCCATAACGGTTCCATAGAATCGGTCTTGCCGAAATTGTATAAAACGTTTAACATCTCGACCACTCGGTCTTCGAAATATAACACGGATACTTTCGCGTCGTCAACAAGTCCCTTTAACGCATCTTTACCTTCTTCGGTCCACAGGGGTTCGATCAAATTCATATAATGACCGCAGTTAAATACATAACTACACGCGAGTCGTTGGTAGACGTCATCGCACGCTTCCGCCACTGGCCATTTACCGTACGAAAACCACGACATTTTATCGTAGCTGTCTTTCAACTGATCGTGAGAGTATCCCGTGTCCATGTCGAGCAATTGTTTATAGTGTGCATTCGTTTTTATTTTTGCATATTTTTCACGTTCACACGAATCGCCGTGTTGCAAAAAACCCACCGATAGGACAATTTGCAACACCAGAGGCCAACAGAAAGAAGACATGGCCGCGTTTCAAGTGCAAACACTTCAGTGTGCTACACGTATATGATGCGACGTATAAACTAGTTATCACTGGAATGGTGGTTTTTGCAGTACTGTAATAGTGTTTGTTAGAAAAAAAAACCGTGTTTTATAGGTTTTTATTTTTACCATAAACGCAAACTCACGACAACATGTTATTGTATTTTTTTTTTTTCACCAAAAAAACCAACTCGCAATGACATATTGTTTTTCGTTATTTGTTTTTGACTTTTCGTACAGTACACTGTTATCCGATGTGTTTTAGCACTAGTGTAAAAAATATTTTACCGTTTGTGCGAAGAAACCAATGTACAACAACATGTTTTTCGACGATCGACCCGCTTTGTCAATTACACAGGGTGTCCCGCCAACATTTGATATAACCTTGAAATTAGATCGAAAACAATTTAGGCTATACTATTATACTCAAATGGGAACAAATGAACTTAATATTATTTATATAGAAGGATCTGAGAGCTGATCAGTAGATAGAATCGATAGATTATCCTACTTGCTGCACTTCTCCTGGACACTCGCCTATTTAACACTATCAATTATTTAACAAAATTGTTCATAATTGGGTTTTTTATCCGTTAACATTATTAATCGATTATTCTTATAATTAATATTTGATTAGTACCTGAATTTCAATGCTTAACCCGAAGTAATAACGCTGAGTTTCGAATTGTTTTTTTTTTTGTGCAAGGCGCCCATAAGTATTATTATTTATTACTCTATCTACTGATCCTTCTATGTAAATAATAGTAAGTTCAAATGTTCCTATTCTTGAACTGATTATCATGAATTTGTTTGGTAGAATACATTTTGAAAATAATAATATAGCCTAAAATTTTTTCGATCTAATTTCAAGGTTATATTAAATGTTGGCGGGACACCCTGTATTTCGATAGCCGAAAAACATATCGTACAATGGTTTCGCTCAAACAGTAAAATATTGTGCTAAAATACATTGAATTGCTAGTATACTGTACAAAAACTCAACAATAACAAACAAACAACGAAAAACAATATGTTATTGTGAGTTCGTTTTTAAGCAGAGGTTCTCTCGTCATAGTTTATTGACTAATAAAAACTTTACTTCCTCATAGTTAAAATTTGAAAAAAACAAAAAAACCATACAAGTTTTTTTAAGTTAGAACTTTAAATGGCTATAATTTCGAGAAAAAGAATCGAATCGAGTTAAAATTTATAAGGAATATTTATTTCTTATGTCCGCACACGCCAATTATATCAAAATTAAATTATTCCATTTCCCAACCCCCAAGGGTGGATGTAACTTTTTTGTTTTTTTATAAATATTCAAATTTAGTAATTGTAAATGTTTAAAAAAAAGAAACACTAAAAATTAGAATTATTTTAGAAAAAAAAGTGTCTTATCATTAATACGTCATCTCTATTCAACATGAAACACATAATTGCTATTTCTTTACTAATGATTTGTATACCACTCACCCACACAGAAAAAATATATAGTTGGTCCAACTTAAACTATGGTTATTGTAGGGACACGATTAATTTTTTGTTGGCCGAACTAAACGTTTTGTTGGACTCAATCAACATAATTTATAGGTTAAATAATATATTTAACATTTAGACCTATTTTGTTCGAAAAATATCAGAAATATTTGAAATATTGGACATTAATTTAGCAAATATAACCAAAATTGTTTATTGCTAATGAAATATAATATATCTTTTACCTATACAGAAAAAATATATAGGTGGTCAAACTTAAAATATGGTTAATGTAAGGACACGATTAATTTTTGTTTGGCCGAACCAAATATTTTGTTGGACCAACTTTGTATTTTTCAGAGGGTAACTTAATCACCTTAATTTATAGGTTAAATAATATATTTAACATATTGACTTAATATTTTTGAAATATATCAGAAGTCTTTGAAATATTGGACATTCATTTCATGCAAATATAACCAAAATTGTTTATTGCTAATGAAATGCTTTATCATAAAACATAAAACACCATAAAACATAAATTTGAAATATCTTTATTATTTCTTAGTATACTACCCTTCTACGAAGAATAAATTAATAGCTGGTGCTATCTAAAATATATTTAATGTAGTGATATGATTAATTTCTTGTTGACCTAACTAAATGCCTTGTTAGAACCACTTTTTTTTTAGTTTTTTTAACTAGAAATATATATAGCCTCTATAATAAGCTTATTTTAATTTAGAACAAATATTTAATAACTCAGTCCAACTAGAAATGTATTGTGTCCCTAGAGTAACCATAGTTTTAGTTGGACCAACTTTGTATTTTTCAGAGCGTAACTTAATCACCTTAATTTATAGGTTAAATAATATATTTAACATATTGACTTAATATTTTTGAAATATATCAGGAGTCTTTGAAATATTGGACAATAATTTCATGCGACGCTAACCAAAATTGTTTATTTCTAACGAAATGTTTTATCAGCCTTAGGTGTTTTTTCGGTACACTGCTGTTGTTTTCCAAATAACATTGCCATTGTCGTCATACTTTAATAACTCAGTTTCAATATAGTTTGAATAACATTGTTAAATAATGTATATTATATATTTATGAATTTGGATTTCACGTATCAAAATCTATTAGTTAGACGGCTCCATTCAATATGAAAGACAAATAAATATTGTACAAGTCTAATGTCGTTTCGATGGAAGGGGGAGGGAGAGATTTCTTTCACAATATTATTTACCTTTGAAATTCAATAGAACATTACACTGCCAATCCGCCGTGCAGAACAGTAAAATGATTAAAAAAAAAAAAAGATATAACAATATGGATTCAATTGCTGTTCAGATCTATTATTTAAAAAAATGCAGTGAAACATAACCGTAAAATAGTTTTTTTTGTTAAAACTTTAAATAATTAGCAAACAAATATTTTTGGACAGTAAACGAAGTTTATTCGTAAACCCAAGTATCGACAGTTCTCGTCCAAGTGACCATTTCTTTTTCTGTGAACCACAGACCGATTTCTCTTTCGGCGGCTTCCACGGCGTCTGCTCCGTGAATTACATTACTAAAAAAATATAAACATAAAAATCGTTGTTTGCAATAGCAAATCGTAAGTCCTGATATTAGCTTAAGTACACACGGGCCTGAATGTTCGGTTTGAGTGCAAAGATCTCCTCTGACAGTACCAGGGTTGGCATCCTTCCGGTTCGTTGCGCGGAGGAGGAAACGTGCAATCTTGACGGCGTCTAATCCTTCCCATACCTAAAACATAAATAAATGCATTTCTTTAGATGTTGGTTCAAAATTGAATATGCTCATCCATAGTTGCTTGCCATTGGTATAACGGGTCCTGACAACATGTATTTGATAAAACCTGGGAAAAACTGGCTGTTGGACAAATCAGAGTAGTGTTCCCTCATCAATTGTTCCGAAGGCTATAAATAAAAACAATATAACTATAAGCACAAGAAAACTCAATACTGAAACATGTAAAATCATTTAGGTATTAAAAATGTTGACATTGCGAATAGGGTTGGGAAAAGTGTATTTTTTTAGGAATATATTACTTCTGGTTTAAGATGTAAATAGGAATTTAAAAAGCCAGTCAATGGGACCTGTAGAGCGGGAAAAGTCACACACAGCTCTACAGGAATTATTACAGCTAAAAGTGATAAAATCGCTTTCAAATAAACGCTTTGATGTGCATCCCTAGATGGCAGAAAAAATACTACAAGATGGTAAAAAAAATTCGCAAAAAAATTGGTAACTCTTTATTATAATACCACATTAAGTCTATACTGTATACTGTATATATCTAATTTTGATATATCTATATTACTAAAGTTTTACATATTATGGTTATATGTGGCGTAGGTATAAATTGTTTAAGTTGTAAATTTAATATTATACAATAAAACGATACACAAACAAGTTCAGTAGACCATTCTGTCTTGCCACGGAACAGCACCTTCATGATATTGAAGTAATGTGTGTATCTTTCTCGCAACTCTCTAGCTTGTCTAGCTGAATGGTTTGATCCGGTATTGCTAATACTATTGGCATAGCTACTATAATAAGATAATACTTTATTGTTAATAAAGGATATAAAAAAAAAAATTCTCAGTGTTTGATAACAAGTTCCACAGGAAATGTATAGAATTCTTCCCGCCTATTTGTGTTTCTAAACAAGCGCCAGAAGACAATAGGTCAACGATATTTTCAGAATTTAGATAGATTTATCAAAATAAAAATAAAAACATAAATAATTTCCTGCGTGTATAATATATAATATTATAATGTTTGAACTGTTTTTAACTATACTTTTATTTTTTTTTAAATAAAATAAAACACCCAGTTGCCGTTTAACATTCGTAGTAATTCTTAAAAGTTAAATCTATTTTATTATTTTCACGGTATATCATAAAACCGGATCTGTGGCACCAAACTAAAATTTAAAAGGAGGGGCAAAACTTTACAAATGGACACCCACCTCAAGGTTAGATTAGGTTAGGTTAGGTGAGAGTAAGATATTTGAGCTATTAAAATATACTGATGGGATACCCTGTATCGATAGAAGCGTCGAAAAATATGTTTTTGTGCATTTGTTTATTTGTACAAGCAGAGTTATATACAGTAAAAAAACAACTCAACTGCACCGATAAAAAAACATTAAAACTAGGTCATTTATATTTATATTTTGCTCTAAACTCGGAATAAAAATTAAGTAATATTGTTTGGTTTTTGACCTATGAAAACTAATTATATTTGAGTTGAATATTTTAGATGAAGTCTAAATATCAAATTTAATCTTCTGTTGGATAGGTTAGGTTGTACTTTACTGCGGCATAGACTAAGTGTCGTAGGCGTTAAACGATCGTTAAAACTAAAAAGAGGATCTTTTTTTTGTAAATTGAAATTTTATAATTAAATTATAATACCTAGTATATAATGACATAGGTCTTCTATTTTTCTTTTATCTGGTAACATTTTAACGAGTAGAACGAATATTTTCTAACGTGTACAAAACTCTTTAACCAGAGGTCTTATTTGGGTTTCCAATTGATAATGTATTAGGTTTTATTTTGCACTCTGAATTCTGGTCTTATGAATCGCTCTAGTGTATTGAAATAAACGATAAATTGTGTAAACAACACTCAGTAATTTTATTTTATTTTTTTTAAACTCCCATGGAGACGTTTTGTATCTCCTGTCTTCCAGAGAGGTTGAACAATTTTGGAAAAAATGGAAATGCAATTTTAGAACTTAACTTGGAAAACTTTGAACGTCGATATATTCAATGTTTATTTTTTACATACACTTACAGCAATTTTCAAAAAAATACTTTGGCTATAGATTTACACTGTTATTTTTAAATAGAAATTATTGTCATTTCCACTAGGATTTTATTTAAACCATATTTTCCCACCACTTCTGTTACTTCTGTCTACTGACGACTACCCATTAAAACGTTAAACCTGTTAAACGCGAATCATAGTTAATATACCATTTGAATTGAACAGTAGATTCGACTTATAAAAGGTTCTGGCGCGGTTATGACATACATAAGTTAATTTACCAGAATAAAATATCGTTATGCGCTAAGCGTGATCACAAATAAAATGAGATGTTAGAAATCTATTTCTATTATAATTGTTTAAAGATTAATTAAACATGCATGAATATACTTGCTTTTTTTACTGCGGTATGAAACTAAAATGCACTTTGGTCGTAAAATTATTGTTTTTCTATCGTTGATACAGGTTAACTACAATAATAACGAATAATTTATTCCGACTTATTATATAAATAGGTAGTCTACTTTTAAACAATTTTAATTAATATACTAAACCGGCAAAATATGATCTTTACAATATTCTAAACCAATGTATTTAAATCTACTCGTGTGTATTATATCAATATCGAATAAAAAAATAACGTAAAAACAAATTTTTAGTTTACTAAATATATTTTATTAATTGACGTTTAAAACAAGGACTACATGTTATATTAATTCGAATTTGTCATTGACAATAGTCATTTCGTTCAACAATATTAAAAAACATAACTTTCGATGAAATACACTTTTTGAATGTCAATGTTGTACGTTTGTCGGCTGATAGAGGTTAGATAATCCAATCTAATCTAACTAATAATAAATACATAATATTATTATGTGGGTGATGTCTTCTTATATGTTTTTTATATATATATTGTTCTTAGCTGTGTACCTGTACGTATTGAATGTTCGTACTATCTTCAGCTGCTGTTATGTATCAACAAACATTAGCCCTCGTAAATCATTGATTATGTAATAGACAGTAATTTATATTATAATTGATAACACAATATTGTTCACATAATCAATGGTAATAGCAAAGTATATTACAGTAAAATTGATATCCTGTTACGCTGTCATTTTATCATTGAAGATAACATTACGAGACGATGTGCATTGTGCAATAACCTGTTTATTTCAAACTTGCCCTTTCACCTACAAAATCAAGAAAAATGTACATATTTTTCAAGCTATAATTTTAGAAATAGAGAAGTCCACCGATTATTTACTTCATATTCGTAATCAGCATAAAAACATATACTACAAGATGGTAAAAAAAAAAAAAAAATGCAATTTCATTTTATTCCCAAATCTTGATAACTTTTATGTTACACCTTATGAATCGCTTTATGCAAAAAGAGCCTTAGTCCTTAACTTTAAATTTTTAGAAAAATGAAAAAAAAAAAACGTTTGATATGTTTCAAAATGCATAAACATATAAAGGCTTTATCAAAGTTAATAGATATTAAACAGTAAAATTACATTCTACAAAACAATATTATTATTTTCAAATGCAGTCCAGATTGTTAGCATTTAAAGTATAGTATAACCTTTAATTACGTGCTAAGGGGTGTTCTAAACACGCCAACTGCTATAATATTGAAAAGTGGAAACAATTAATTAACATTGGAAAACCCTATACGGGGTAAGATGTTATTAAGTTTCTTATTACCATGAAATAACTAAAATTATTACTTTAAGCATGAGATAACGAAAACACCCCGGCCCCGTTAAAGGTTAAAGGTTGAAAAATATATTAATTTCTTTACGATAATTATTATTTAAAGTTTTATTAAAAAAATATTCTCACACTTGTTCAATATGTATAGAACACAGTGAAACAATACAATAAACGGACCTGGGAAAACCCATTGGAAATATCTACGTTGCTCGTTCTCTTTGTTCTGTGACTTGATTTGTTTTGACTCGAAAGTAATGCGACTTTGAAAATAATGTAACTTGGAAATAGGTATATTCATTGCAATTTTGCAAAATTTCCCAATGCCGGACTTGGTATTTTTTTTCGATGATTAGCCCGTGCGTTATTTAGCTGTAGAACTTACCCACATGAACTTCATGGCTACCAATTTGAAACCTTTGGATTCAAACCGTTTGATGATTTTGCCGACGAGGCCTCGGTGCACACCGTCGGGCTTGATCATGATGAAAGTGCGTTCCACGTTTGGGTCGCCCATTACTAGTCTGATGAGTATTTCAAATGCAGTTTCTAATGTCGTGGCGTGGAAAACTTTACTAACGAGTAATAATTGTAATATACTCTATTAACAAAGAGTATATGATTTTATTGCCGACCGACCGAGTCGATACGAAGGCGTACCGCCAAAAAGGAACACCGAACTGATGATGTTGGGGGGGGGGAGGGGAGCAGAGTTTTTATAGAACCGGATTTTGCCGGTAGGAGGCGCGTGTAAAGCTACACTGTCGGACACCACAAAAGATGAATTAAAAAAAATGTTACACAAAGTTAGTACACAAAGTTTTGTGATATTCAAAAAAATATAGATTTTAAAGTTAAAAATTAATAAATTAAAAAATCACCGTTAAAATAATTTGTAGTTTGCTTAGTCCCGGTTTTTCAATAATTGCATTTAGCTGACAGTTAGTATGACTTATAACTGATGGTTAACATTATCTTCCAGTTAAACTGTTTACGCGGAGTCCCAGCTCAGCTAACCGACGGTTTTAACTCTCAATTAAATTAACCGCTACTATTTCTATCAGTTAACAGATTAAATCGATGGTGAATGATTAACATTCATGCAATTATTTTTTACTATAAAATTGCTTGAAAAATTATCAGTTTTTCAAATATAAAATGAATCTCGAAAGTGAAATGTTCTATGATGGCGATGAAGAATATTTGGAATAACTAATATTTGAAAAGGGTTGATCATTTTGATAAATGAAACAATTATGAATTTGAAGTACGCTTTAACAATGAGTAAAAAAAAAAAAATTACCTATGAAAAATTAAAGAAATATTTTTTTTTGTAAAATTAAATGTATTTAATTATTCTAAATTTAAATTTATCTAAACATTTTTATTATTATTATGACCAAATCTAATTTTGTAACGAACTTACACATAAAGGTGTTGTTATTAATTAGTCAACAGTTATTTTTTTTTTTAACGCTAACTCTAAAAGTAGTTCTTTTTCCACCCAGCTAAAATTTGTCGACCTTCTTCTTTTCATCATGATTCGTCAATTAAAAAATGGTAATACTAAATATATAATAATTAAACGGCTAAATTTGAAATGTCGTTGTTTTCCTAACTGTTGTTTGTCCGGTATAACAGATGTTAATTGATGAGTAATAAATCACAGATAAACAATTATTACAAGATCATACTTTTTGCAGCATGGCCACTTTTAAAATACATTTAATTCGCCACTTACCTCCAGTTAATATTTCAATTGAAAATCCGCGCCTAAGTGAACGGCATTTGTCAAAAGGGACCTATGTTACATATTTGAAAAAATAGTTTTATGGTGTTATCATTAATTATCTCCTTACGGAAACCCATCGTTTTGTGTTAATAAAAAGGCCCTGCATCATGTACTGTTGTGTATATTATGCGTTTAGTACGGTAAATATTTTATGCCCTAGTCTTGTAAACACATCGTTTAGTATTTAAAGGGCCCTGCACGTTGTGTATGTAAAGCCACATCATAGTTTTCGCCCGTTAACATTAAATTACTCATGAGCTTCAATGGTTCTCCTTCTAAATAACACTTAAGACGACCGAATTTGACAACCGGCGGCATGGATGGTTTCATGGACTAACTTTTGTCAAACATATTTTTGAAGCTTGTGTAGTCCATAGGATTCCCTCCGAATTTGGGAACGGCCGGTTTTTCAACCGGGTAGTAAACATTGGGCGGAGAAGGGTTGGCTTCAAAAAGCGTTTTTTTATTCGAAGAAGCATCCCGCGGTTGTCGTATAGAGGGTTTTAACAAATCCAACACGGAAATTAATTATTATGACAAACTACTATTCAGACAAAAAAAAAAGCTATACGCAAATAAGGTCTTGCCTACTGGCCAGCTATCTCACCTAGGGCAACTCCAAAATTGGTACAAATATTGAGGGTAAAAATTAAAGAAAGTAAATCGGTACAAGTCACATTAACCCTGCAACAATGCCACTGCCCTCCCCCCCCCCCCGTCTACTTAAATAACATCCAAATTCCCAGCTCTTCCGACGCAAATAAAGGGATACGCTTTGACAGGCGCCTTACATGGTCAAACTACTTATAAAACCGCTATGGACCTACGGCTTACAAATCTGGGGGGGAGCTGCAAAAAAATAAAATTTAAACGAAATTCAAACTGTCCAAAATAAAACTTTCCGTCTCGTTACTAACGCTGCTTTCTACATAACCAACACAACTTTACATAACGATCTTCACATTAAAACAATACCTGAATACGCTACCAAATCATACACCAGGTACCACATAATTCTCTTTCCAACCACCCCAACATTCTAGCAAGGAACCCAGCGTTACCCAGTATGCCAGGAAACCCCATTAAAATACTAAAACGCAAGTGGTACCGAGACTTAAAAATGTATTGCCATAGTTACCCATATATCGTAATTGACAATATAATACAAATATTTTCATTGCCTGTTGACTGTTGATTCACTCGCACATAGCAACTTAGAAACTGACTACGACCAAAGTGTACATTTACCCTATTTTTGGGGGTTTTCGTTAGTAAAAAAAAAAATTTTACTACAAAATGTTGAGAAAATTGTATGTGTTATAGTTCCATTTTAGATCTACCTTCGGTCTAATTTTCAGATCTAAATCTCTAAAACTTTGCTTAAAAAAATTGAAATAAAGAAAAAAATTCTATCCCTTCTAAGGGAAAGGGTTTATGATATTTTTTTGGTCTGTTAATGTTTATCGATAGTATTATTTTTGAAAAACAATTCATATAAATTTGGAACATTTTCGACTATTTCTAAAAAAAGTTATAGAGCACCGTAATTTTAAGTTGAAAAATTTGTAAATTTTTTAGTTGTTTTTCTCGATTTTGATGGGGAAGAGATAACTTTTTTTAATTTTTAACCTTATAAAGTACCTTTCAGGTATGATTTCTGATCTATAGAGTTGCTACACGCAGAAATCGGTTGAGCGGTTTACGAGATATCGTGGGTGCAGACACAAAAAAAAAAAATTAAAAAAAAAACATATCATTGTAAATACAATACCTTCTCAGCTCCGCACCGAAGCTAAAACTTGTTATTAAAAAAAAAACAAGAATAGTTCAACCATATGATTTGGGTTTATTTGTTTATAGTTTACGTGCCGATCCCGATGAATAATTCAAAATGATAGAATAGTAATAACTAACGATAGTAATAGTAATAATAATAATAATAATAACATATGCTGACAAAATTAAAGAGAAAAAATAAAAACAAATTTTAACAAAAGAAAACTATTAAATTAAAAATGAGAGATCCGCGTTGGCGATGGACATTAAGCGCCTCGTTGGCTCACATTT